GCTCTTACTCTCTGATTGCTGTAACGCTTTCTTTCTTGTTTGCTACGATTGCCATTGCCACTTACATACATATGTATATCAAATGATTTCTACCGTTCTCTTGTCGTGTGATAAAATGAAACCAACCCGATTTAGGAGAGGTCTGATAAGCGCATATAATAAAAATGTGTTTACACACATATTTGAAAGTATGAAATTTAAATGGGCAAAGAACAACTATATATGTATGTATGCATGTATGTACACATATACATATACAAACTGAAACAAAATTGTGTCACAACATAATAAATAAGCGAGCAAGCATACAAAAATACACATACAGATGTACGTATGCATGTTAATATTTATGTAAAAGTATCGTAACATTTTTATTTTAGGGGATAGGTGTTAACAATTTGAAATTTATTGTCAGTCTAGAACAGTCTAACGGAGTACTAACTCCCCCTTGCCCATGGAAAGCGATCGTAGTGAACTTCGCGTGAAACTTTTAACCAAAACTGTTTATGTAGTTCAGATTTTTGGTTCAGTTTGGCAAAATGACAGCGACAGAAGATAAGAGAGAGCGCGTGAGCTAGTGAGTGTGAGTGAGTAGCTGGCTGCGTGTGCGTCTGCGGCAAGTTCATTCACATTTGCACTCATTACGCGGCCAAAGCCAATACCAACGTCGACGCCGACGCTGACGCAGCTGCTCTTGAAATTGAAACTTCTGGGGGCAGACGAACGCTACAAGCAGCGCCTCTCTTAATTCGACATCTACATCGACCCATATTATTACATACATATGTATGTATATGTATGTGCATACGATGATATTTGTTTTCACAATTTTCTTTAGGCTTGCATCCCACTGCAGATTGCAGGTGACAACAATTATCGCACGTTATTAGCATCGATTTGTTTGTCATGTAATAGGGGCAGCGAGTACTGTAATTTTGGAGAATGCACAATCCGGGCCCTTTGCAATCGAATAATCCCAGTGTCCGTCTGGACAATACTCCTGCTACCACCCTTTGTTCTGCAACGTGCCAACGACATACAATGTAAATATATTGCGAAATGTTTTTTCCTAACTTGCACGCCCCGCTTGCCGCCTTTTAACGCCCATCACCTGTTCAGTAGGCCAGTCGGAAACCGCTTCGAACATGCTGTCACGTTTGCCGTTTGGCCGACTCACGTTTTTTCAACAGCACAGCTACCTTTGCAACGTGTGGCGCAGCAAACAGGTTGGAACATGTCGCATCTGTCGATGATTGGGGGACAGCGTAACGCTGCTCTGAAGTGACAGACGGGATAGGCCAGGAGGATGTATGGATGGGGCTTGTGCTGGAGGCGGGTGACGATATGGCTGAGGCCAACCGTTTCTGCCGAACTGATACCAGATTTAATTTTTCACGTTGCAAAGCCAGCTCCTACACACAACACTTTAGAAAATACAATAGCGGTGAACCACTTTCCAGGTCAAATCTGGAAGGCGAATGACTTGTTTTCTACGTGTGCTGATCATTGCTTCGTAAAGTTTCTATCAAGTCGTGCAGCCAGCAGAGTGAACTACACCATAAAATGGAAACCCAAAAAAAAAAATTAAAATTCTAGGTGATAATTGGAACAACTATATTGATACATATATAAATTATACTGAAAGTTTCAACTGAATCTTTGCGTTGTTAACACATCATTTTTAAGAACTTGATTTGAATCATATTACCTCTCTTTTGTAAAAAAATTTTTTTATGCATGTCAAGCGACCTTCGCAAAAAAATGGAATAAAATAAAAGTGCATCAGTCAGATGCGACCGACTGCACAATACTCTATTCCTCTATTCCTACCTCTTCAAAAAGGCATTGGTATCCGTCTGCCCGATACGAGCTCTGTTATTAAAGCTAGATACTTGAAAATCGAAAAAGAGTAGAAATAGCATTTTTGTCAATACAATTCTCGCCATATATGCATTTATTTGCTGTATGCACATATCGTTAAACTCAGCTTTTGTAAGCTTAGCAACTCGGAATATTACATAATTCCCCACTCGGTGAGTGACACAACAAAGAAGCGATACGTACACGACTTCATATTTAATAAAATAAAAATAAATGACTCATAACTGTTAATTAGTATTAGTGAGTTTCTATATCCTCTTGGACAAGAGAAATAAATTAAAGTCTTAGAAAAACGAGCATCAATGGCTTCCTTTACGAATACGAATACGAATACGAATACGAATACGAATACGAATACGAATACGAATACGAATACGAATACGAATACGAATACGAATACGAATACGAATACGAATACGAATACGAATACGAATACGAATACGAATACGAATACGAATACGAATACGAATACGAATACGAATACGAATACGAATACGAATACGAATACGAATACCAATACCAATACGAATACGAATACGAATACGAATACGAATACGAATACGAATACGAATACGAATACGAATACGAATACGAATACGAATACGAATACGAATACGAATACGAATACGAATACGAATACGAATACGAATACGAATACGAATACGAATACGAATACGAATACGAATACGAATACGAATACGAATACGAATACGAATACGAATACGAATACGAATACGAATACGAATACGAATACGAATACGAATACGAATACGAATACGAATACGAATACGAATACGAATACGAATACGAATACGAATACGAAAATAAAAATAAAAATAAGAATAAGTATAAGTATAAGTATAAGTATAAGTATAAGTATAAGTATAAGTATAAGTATAAGTATAAGTATAAGTATAAGTATAAGAATAAAAATAATAATACGAATAAAAATAGGAATACGAATAATTATAAGAAATAAGAATTGTAACAATTCAAATCCTGCACACAAAGTAGGCGACTAGCTCATTTCCATTGCGGACTCGAGCCGCGAACATGTGAGCCACTGTCGCGGGAGCGTTGCACTGTCAACTGCACATTTCGCGACACGTGATCAGCTCCAGCGCCCGGCAAGTATCGAGTATAAATAGCCCGCTGGCGTTGCTAGAACTTGACAACCTTAGGAGGCGTGCTGGCAATGCTGCCCGAAGGTGGAAGGGGAGGGGCTGGCTGAGCTGAGCTGTGTACTGCCGACAGCTGCTCTGTCGATGTCGACGCCGACGCCGATGACGACGACGACGACGGCTCTGTTTCGTAACAATCTGGCGTATTTTCACTAACACTAGCTCACTCTAATATGTGCATACATAAGCACATGTACAAATGTATATATGTACATACATACATCTTAAATCACTTGCGCTATTACCTAAATGCAAGGTTTTATTCCTATTCGCATTTACATTCTTATTCAAGTTTTGAATGCATTTTGCATTCATATGCTTAAATATTCATACCGGACGACCCACGTGGCTGTGTCTGATCACGTGTACCTGTCGCTGCTGGAGCCTGCTGCTTTCCGGCTTTGATAATTTTGTAATAATACGCATTATTCAACGAGCCGTGCATTTAACCAGTTTTGTATAATACACATTTACTCACAGTTATAAATTGTTTATAGACATTAAATACGCAAGTTACTTTCAATGTCAAATTATCCTGGCTTCATTTTTGTAGGTTTAAAGAGCTGTTGCCATATGATTAAATGATTTATCAATACTTGATTTACTAGAATAGCACTTACTTATTATTAATTTAACGCTGCTTGCAATATTATCGCTTATGTAACTGTAGACAATTGCTTTGCATTCAGTTTATATTCTGCACACTTTTACATACATTGTACTGCAATCGGTTTACTTTTTACATAACTCTGTTAAATAAAATTCAAATGGACAATAAGGAAAAGGTAATTGGGTGTTCTTTATTAGGTCATCTAACGACTAACTAACGATTTTAGTGACAATAAGAGCTAGAGAAAACTCCCAACTTAGATCGTAGCTTTCAATATATTATTCTCACACGTTCTTTTCCTTACATTTTTGGAAAGTCTATCCCACTTTAGTGGAAAAGGCGTCCTATGATTTGCTATATGAAGTTTAAGGATTAAATTCCTTATCAAAGATCTAATCGAAAGTTCATTTGAGACGTGTCTCACATTTTTCGGAATGTCCTTGGTGGTAATTGGGTGTAAATGTTTTCAGGCTCAAACTCATTCCCAAGGGTCCTTTATAAAAGTTCATTTGAGACTGGTTTCCGCTTTACAATTTTAATGAATCAGAGATCTGGATCAAACGCGGCAAGATGCTTTGTATTTTGTTTCCAAGATATCTTCATCGAACTCAGCACTTACGAGGTTCATTCTATCACATGGCTGCAAATGTTTACAAAAAAGACAGATATTGTATCTACGATTGTTTCACATTTATTGAAAAACACTAAATAACTGATTAACGTTAATTATTAAATTATAAAAGTCATAAGCACTTAAATTAGTTAATCAGTTTAAGCGAATTCAAATCGCCGGACCAGTATCCTTAATCAGGCACCCTTCCAGACAACCTTCCAGTCTTGATTTTCCTTGGGTGTTCTGTATAAGACGCTTGCGTCACCGCAAAGCATTGTGCACATGTTCGCATATGAAAACACATGTATTAATACATACAAGCGTACACATGCATATGTACATATACATATGTAAGTGCGGTGTGCCCAGCGTAATGCATCGCAATATCCTAATAAAACACCTTCTGCCCTTATCAGTGCCATTGTCACTTACCTCACCGCTGATAGCCAACAGACGGCACACGGCGCAGTCACGTTCTAGTTTTCAAATGTACAGCTCGTAAAGATTTCTGTTTGCCGCTGATTACTCAACCATGGAACGTACAGCAATGTGATCGGTTGCAACTCGCAGCGCGCAACGCGCAACAGGCAGGCAGCGTCCACAAGAGTATAATCGGATTCCAACCCGTTAAATTTCACTTTTACCAATGCCCCACAGTTCTGGTTCTTACTTCCAACATGTTGGCATATGTTCGATGTTCGAAAGCAGTCGCGTGTCGCTGCTGCGTGCAGTGGCAACGTGACCGGGCTCCGATTGGACTGCGGCTGCCGAGTGAAATGCTTTTACAAATTCAATTGCGATTCAGCATTCGTTCGAAGCGGTTGTAGATGCGCTTGCGACCCGCGATATACATATTGTGAATGAAGTGCAATCCACTGCTAGTTACAAAAAATCCCAGACAGTAAAATCTAAACATTCGACAACCGTTACAAGTGTTTGGGCCATGCAAAAAATAAAAATAATAAAAAAAAAACACTGTATCTTCATTTAAAGTGCATTAAGATATAAAAACTTTTGAGGCTCAGAATTCTAATTCTGGTTTTACTATTAAACATTCAAGTGCAAATGCATCAGTGTTTCTCCTGTTTGGCAATCCGATCGAATTGCAAATCTGAATGTGTGTTAAATCGGCAGTGCAACTGCGTAAACAATGCTTGGATAATTAAATGTGATTTGGCACTCAAAACATTATGTCGATAGAAAGCCCGTTGGAGCGTAAAGTGAACTTTTTTCAAGAGACTGGAACAACTAAAAGTTTGTTTATACTCAAAAACAATAACATCGTGAAGAACAAAAATTGTACCGATAAACTGTACAGCAACACAAAACATAATAACAAAATCAACAGCAACAGCTTCAACAACATTCTACATACGCAGTGCACTACTGTATCAGCAACAAATATTAAAGCTAGATGTAAGTGCAACAATAACAACAACATCTAGAATTTCTGATTGTAAATTTAAAACGCAAAACAAAACTCATGAAAAGTAGAATGACACAGAGAGAAAGAGAGAGTGAGAGAGCGCAGCAGCAGCGCGCTTAGTCATGTTGTTTTTGTGAATTTCGACACAGGCAGCGGGGCAGCGATTGCAGCGAAGTGTCGTCGTCGTCGTCTGTTGCTTTTATTTGTACCAATGTGGCTGCTGTCGGCGTAGGAGTCGTAGGGGTTGCCGGCGGCTACGACGTTGGCAGCGTCTGGCTGCTGACGTGAGTAGCCAGTTTATAGAAACGATTATAAATGTATGTGTGCGTATGGGTGTGTGTGTGTGCGCGTGTGTGTGTAGCACGTTGAACTGCAAATGCCAATTTGATGGTCACGGTGAGGGTGAGGTGACAACAACAACAACAACAACAGTAACACACAAAACAGAATACCGACCAATCCGTGTGATTTCTTGTTTACGTTGCCATTTTCGTTTGCATGTGTGTGTGTGTGTGTATCGATGTGCATGCGAGTGTATACGTGTACTTGTGTTGTGTGTTCTTTGTGCTGGTGCTGTCGTCTAATTCTCTGATTCTTGCATCATTTGCCGTAATCATTGTGTAAATGGATGGCTGCAATAAAAATGAAAGCTCGTGTGCATACAACACACGTATGTACATACATACATACACAATACGTATATGTATTGTCATTCATGCAATTGTTAGCTTGTATGCATGTAAAAAATTATAATATTGTAAGGACAAGACAAGGCCAAGGACCAGATAAACAGGGACCGTCTAGGCATACACTTATATATATATGTACGTGTGTAGGTATTGTATGTAAAATATGTTATAAATGTTTGTTTGGCCAAACAAGATCTTATAATAAATGGATCCCATAAATGTAATTTGCATAAATACAATATTTAATGCATTTTATATATTATATGTATATACATATGTATGTAGTATATATAATTAACTAATGCTGAGAGCGATAGATAACTGTAAAATTCTGCAGTGGAAATAGCTAGAATCGATCTAAAGTCTACATAAATGGAAGAGAACTTAATTTGATTTAGAGAAATTGAAGAACCAATGGGAACTAAGAGTTGCTTTTGGATTTTCTTTACAGTTAGACATACAGGGCAGACGCTCCAGTTGCAGCTGCAGCAAGAACAAGAGCACTTGAGGGACAGCGTGAGCAGCCAACTAGCGCAGTTGCTACCGCTTAAGCAGGAGCAGGAATTGCGGGTGGTCACGACGCCGACCGCAATGCCCGAGGTGCTCGCCGGGACACCCACACAAAGTCAGAATAAAGCGTCAGCTACCGCGGCATCCGTATCCGTCTCAATGATGAGCAGTGTGCGCCTGGCAACCATTTCGCCCAGTCTGTCTATGAACGGCAGTTCGAACGAAGCCACAAATCGTAAGTATATTCTGAAAATAAACCATTGCGGATAGGTTATCATTTGATTTCTCTCCGCTTCAGTGCATCCCCTGTCCATGTACGGAGGCTCAATAAGCCCACAGTCAAACGATAGTGGAATGTCGGACGGCCACACACACAGCCTGAGCAAGTTCGGGCCGGGCAACGGTTACACGGACAGCCATGGCCACAGTATGATGAGCAAGTCGTCTGGACAGAGCAGCGCCGTTGGTGAGGCACAATCAACCCTGACCGCTGCCCAAAAGGAGCTCTTCTCACAGCGCAAGCAGCGCGAGTTTACGCCCGATAACAAAAAGGACGAGAGCTACTGGGACCGACGGCGGCGCAACAATGAGGCAGCCAAGCGGAGTCGCGAGAAGCGGCGCTACAACGACATGGTCCTGGAGCAGCGTGTTATTGAGCTAACAAAAGAGAATCATGTACTAAAGGCGCAGCTCGACGCGATTCGCGACAAGTTTAATATCTCCGGCGAGAACCTGGTGAGCGTTGAGAAAATTCTCGCTTCTCTGCCAACCAGCGAGCAGGTGCTCAGCAACACCAAGCGGGCCAAGATGAGCAGCAGCAGCAACTCGTGCTCCTCTTCATCCTCGGGCTCTTCCCCCGCCGGAGCCGGCTGCAGCTCACCGATTGCGCACACACACAGCGGCTACATCAGCTCCAATGCACCATTGCTCTCGCCCATCGTGTACGGACCGAGCAGCAATGTTAATTCCGCCAGCGAGTCATTAACATCATCATCGTCATTATCCAACAAGAATGGACAGCATCTAGGGCAGCATGGCCCACCACCACCGCCGCCGCCCCATCCTCAATCTCATCCGCATCCGCATTCGCATCCGTACCACCAGCTGCAGCAGACACCATCCCACCATCAGCAAGTGCAGGACGCTGCCCCCTCTGCAATGGATGGGCACAACAGCCGGCCGCCAAGTAACGCCATTGCCAATCTACATGTGCTCCAACAAGCGCTGCACCGCAACGTCAGGCCCCAGGATCTGGACAGCCTGCGCAAGGTCGTGGCTGTTGGAGCGCTCTACAACGCGGCGACAGTGAGCGCGGTGTCGCCAGCCGGCGCTACGATATATACACCTGCAGCAGTGAATGCAAATGCAAATGCAAATGCAAGTTCACCCACATCCGCCTATGTTGCCATCAGCAAGGATCAGCTGGAAGCTAGCTACTTACACGGCCAAAGCATGGAGGGTGCCGTCAGCAGCAGTGCGGTGGATACAGTGAGCAGCACCTGCTCCGCGGTCGTCAGCTCGGCAGCGGCCAGCGTGCTGAATTTGTCAAGACGCGCCTGTTCGCCCAGCTACGATCACATGTTGTCCTCGACCACATGCCTGACGTCGTCCCATCACTCATCTACGTCCTCGGCGTTATCTTCGTCCGCCTGCTCGTCGGGGGCCGTTTCCGGCGACGATGAGCAGGAGCACGACGTCTCAGACGGGCCTGCTCGCTCGCAGGACTCGCATGCGCTGGCGTGCTTGCAGCGCAGCAGTCCACCACATGGCAGTGGCAGCGGCAGCGGCGGCGCCATCGAAGCCAACAACTGTCTGCCGCTCAAGCTGCGCCACAAGTCGCATCTGGGCGATAAGGATGCGGCCGCAACGGCGCTGCTTTCGCTGCAGCACATCAAGCAGGAGCCCAACTGCAGTCGCTCCTCACCGCCCGCGTGGAACGACGGCGGCGACAACTCCAGTGACGAGCGCGACTCGGGCATTTCCATTGCCAGCGCCGAGTGGACGGCACAGTTCCAGCGCAAGCTTCTGGCTCCCAAAGAAGCCGTCGTGTCCGTAGCTGTCGTCGCCAACGTGGATCGCGATCAAATGCTCAAAAGCCAGTTGGAGCGACTCGAGTCCGAGGTTGCCAGCATTAAGAGCATGATGATCCTTGCCGATTAGTTCGTCCACTTGGCACAGTAATGGGTAGCAGAGGGGGGGGGAGAGGAGAGAGAGTGAAGAGACAGACAAAAGATGTAAAGGCGAAAATTTGTTTTCATATATTTTGATTTGACTTATAGACGGATCCTCCACTGTACTGGAAACATCCTTTAAAAAAAAATCTATAACTCTATGTTTTAAAATTTGCCATTTGGTATTTCTGTGTAGAGTTTTTCATAATTGTCATGTCCAACAAATATTGATATGCGATAAACTATTTATATAGATCTCGTTAAATTAGGAGCTGAAATAATTAGGGGAAACCCCATTTGGCCTTTCCTTCTTTTGATTGTCATGTAATATATATTAACATTACTCATTGTTGTTCTCTATCTACATATTTATATACATATATACCATATACTTTAAAAGAAAACAATCCTAAGTATTTACTGTTGTACATTAATGCATATTACACGCTTACCCTATAAGTAGTACTAAATAATAATAACAATATGTACGCAACTATTTTTCATCTATATTGTCCATTTTAAATCTGCTGTGTAAAAATATTCTTAAATTATCACTGTACATAAGCATTGCAATATACGTAGGCAGACTAAATAAATAGTATAATAGTAATAAGTTAGAGACGTATAAAGTTAAATGCAAGCTAAGCTTATTTATTATCATATCACAGAGCAAATACTATAAACAATTAGTTAAAATAAGAAATTAAACCATTACCAATTTCTACAAGGCGTCCAATTGTAATTCCTCTTTACGCGGGTTGTCTAGAAGTTTTTGAAAATAAGTGTTTTATTATTCGCAATTTCAATTCAGTCTCATTCGAGATCAATGATTGAATTTTAAACAATATACATAAAATACCTGCATATATCGATGTTTAAAGTATTTGGAATTTATAGTGTATGTACGGATCTATTGGCATTGTGTTGCTTTTTGCAATTGGCAAACTGTGTGTAAAGGCTTAAGAAACGTTGCCGAGAGGGCAACACTTAGTTAATATATATAAGTTTTATTACCTATAATGTATATCCTAATAATTATTTATATTTACCGCAAGTAACCCTACTCGTTTGTAAAGATATATATGTATATATATATCGTCTGTCTATATGATTGTCACACCTTGCATAATATTCAGTGTGACATTCCATAAATAAACTTTTAAAAACATGCATAGCGATTACACGTATTCAATATTGATCTATGAAAATAAAACAATTTATATTGACTAAATATAAAATCACGTCTTTTTCCATATAACTTAGAGATCGCACAGATCGGCGGAAATTCAGCTAAAATTGCCGACTGAAGAAGAACTTCTTTACAAAACATAACACAACAATCTTTTTTCTTATTGGGATATCACGGAAACTGTGAAAAGGGAAAAAACTGGCAGCAAAAAAATACAATTTCTTGAATTATTTTGTTGTTCCTTGGATTATTCTTGTGAAATATAAAATAATCAATAATAGTTTTAACTGGTTTAATCGCACCTGTAAAGCAATTTGACGTACATACATTTACTCACCTTTGATATAGTTGTAAAAGAATGTTTGTCAAATTTTGAAATAATGCTAGGCAAAACTTTACTCGTTTTTCTGGCATCCTTCATCGTGCAAGCCAAATTACCAATGGCCAAATCGAAATCGATCCTGTCGCTCAATCCGGCGAGTTTTGAAAGCGCCACAAAGAGCCGGATTTTTTTAGTTGAGTTTTACGTGCCGGAATGTCCGAGCTGTTCACGTTTGTACCTCGTGTTGACTACCCTGGTTGTTATCGTAGAGGACAGGTCCATTAACGATATCGCAATCGGTGCGATTGACTGTCGAAAGCATGAAAAGTTCTGTATCTCGAAAAATGTAACCAGCTATCCAAGTTTGGCGCTATTCGAAAAGGGCGGCTCGCAGCACGAACTCTTCAACGGACCCGTTGACCTTTACACCTTGATCAAGTTGCTAAGGTTGCAAAATATTCCTGTGGATCGTGAATACAGAGCCGAGACGATTTGCGTGCCCGGCTCTGTTTTCAAACTGAGCTCTGATACCTTCCATGCGACAATTGCCAACGGCATATATTTTATCAAATTTTTCTCATCCACCTGCCACTACTGCACCGCCTTGGCGCCTGTTTGGACAGAACTGGCCCAGGGGATGACAGACAACACTTTGTGCATTGCTGAGTACGATTGCGAATCGGAGAGGTCCATCTGCAATGAACTAAACATCAAAAGTGTGCCGACCATGCTTTGGTTCCAAAACGGTCGAGTTGTCCAAAAGTTCAAAGGAGGACGCGACATCGATAACCTACGCACGTTCGTCGGGCAGATGCTCAATGGCACCTATAAGGCGGCGGCGGCGGCGGCTCTGGCAACAGTCACAATTGACAAGGCCAATACCCTAATGTGTACTTTCGTAGTTTTTGCTTACATTTACATAACATAGGGGTATTACCCATAAATTGTCTCTGTCTCTATCCAAGCACTAACAGCAGTAAAGGTTAATGTGAAAGCAAGAGAAAATTAATGCTTTATACTAAACATACGGACAGGTATACCCTTCTTTTACCCTTCTAGAAGGTATTCGATTTTTTCATCGAATTATCATATCAAGATATCTTGATTATTACTTTCACTATAATTGTCATATACATATATGCAAAATCATATCAACATCAGACTTTTATATGAAATGTTCTTGTTTGGCAAAATATTCTGCTTTCAATGATATTTTTCTCAAGCTCAGCCATTTCGAACTTCACTATTCTGATACAATCTGCAAAACCGTAGGACAAATGTCTACAAGGATATTAAATCCTCGGCGTGCCAAGATATCCTTAGCCTCTTGGCTCTTTATTCGTTAGACTTTAAATATGTTCTCAGCTAGAAGTGGAGTTCAGAATAGCTTAACGGCAAATCATCTATTAAATCATTATTTTGCTTAATCTTCTAAACTTGTCTAAACTCTCAGCTGACTAGCAAATGTCTACACAAGGTTATTAAGTCTTTTAAGTTCCAAAGATATCCTCCCTAACTCGGTTTTAATCATTTTGTTCGTTGCTGTTTTATGGTGATTTTATACCCGGAACCCATCGAAAATGAGTAAAATGGATATAACGGTTATCTACAAATGAATATAACAATTACTTGTCAAGTTGATCTGTTCGCATGTATGAATACATCGGTCTCAGAGTCAATAAAAACTATATAATTCATGCTTTAAACGTGGATCCAACTAAACCAGCCAAATCTCTTAGGCTTTAAGAGCTAGACACACCAAAATTTGTACAAAATTGCAAAACAAGTAAATAGTTTCTCGCTTCTCACAAATTTAATTAAAAAAATTTTTAAAAAAAATTCCTACTACTAGTCGGATACTTTAGTCCCCCTCCTAGAGCACTTTTACCTGTTTTAAATAATAGAGATAGAATAGGAATTTATTGAGAGTCAGCTAGAATGTGTTTTTTTTTTAATATTCTGCACAAAAATAGACACCAAACTAATTTTATACAAGAATAAAATATGAATAGTTATTTCCACAAATTTGCCAAACATATTTTGAACAATCAAAAAGCGCGTCAAAACTTTCTTAAGTACACTTAAAAAAATTTAAATATTTTTGTAAATGCCAAAAAAAATAAAATAAAAACTTTCTTATATTATTATTATTATTATTTTCAAAACATTTATGTGCTATTTATTAATAAAGACTTTTATTTTGTTGCCAGCAAAAAAAAGTTGAATAATATCGTTTAACTGTAATTAAAGTTTGTTCCTCAATTTAGGTATGATTTATATGGAATACAATCTAAGATAAGTAAAGGTTTTTTTTATATATATATGTACGTATAATATTCACTTATATATATATATATATACATGTGTATACGTTAAGTTTAAACATCACATGAATAGTTTACATTATATTTCTGTAAATATTTGCAGATTTGTTTTCGCTAACTCGATCTTTGCCTTGACATCCCCCAAAATTGTGTTTCTTACTTTACTTTACTTTTTCTTTTCTTTTTACTTTTGCTTTCGTTAGAATAGGAAAAGGCCCATCCACAGTCCACAAAAGGTAAAAACATTGATGAAGACCTGTTCATAAAGTGCAGCTGACATACATAGGTACATGTGACATATATATGTCAGGTGCATATGTTAAGTATGTATGGCATCTTAAGGTTAGAGTTATAGAGAATGCGTCGAAGGTGTAAATATGTTTATTGTAAATATTTATGTATATATATATGTGTTTTTTTTTTATATTTAAAATTGTTCGTTTCTAAGGTTCGGTGTGCAAGGAAAATAATATGCATGTAATTTTTTGTTTGGTTTGTTTTTTTTTTTTTGTACTAACTAAGAAGACAGCCAGCATTGCGCCTAAAAAGGGGCCTGACCCTAGAGCTGCTGTATAGTATATTTAAGTTTAGGATTTAAAATGACTGCTCAAAAAATGCATAAAAATAAGTCATTTTATCGACATTTGGTTGGCGTGATTTTGGAAAACTTTGATTTGGCCTTACGCATTTGGTGGATTAGGTTAAATTTTTGTAGATTCGGTTGGGTTTCAGTTGTCTTTTCGTGATCTTTCCATGCATGTGAGAGAGGTACACACAAATAAGATTGTTTTATTTAGCTTCAGTCGGGCCCAGCAGTAAGAGTTCTCAAATATGAGGATGCCGGCGTTGTGCCAAGAGTTTCAGTCCCCGTCCCAGTGCCAGTCCCAGTTCGTCTTCTTCTTTCATGCCTGGCTGTCGTTGTCGTAGTACTTGGATCCATGCTCCAGGAATGCACCATGTTGTAGTACTTTAGATAGTCATAGTCAAACAGTTCGAAGTCAATACGATAAATCTTGAGCAATTGGTCCAATGTTGACCGGTCGAGATCGGCAAAGTAGCGCTCCACCAGCTCCGCCGACTTGACGCCGTTCCGCGCCTGATTCGCAATCTTGCGCAGCTTGCGTCGCGGCAGCTTGCCCAGCAGCAGCGACTCGAGACCCGCCTGCCTTATGATGAACTCCGAGTCCCGCTGGAATGTTTCCGTTTTGCCAATAATGCTGAAATTGACGCTGCAAGGTGTGCAGAAGCTGTACACCGGTGCCCAGTGCTCGTCAAATCGATTGCCCGTCGCGTGCTCCTGGATGAGAAAGCGCACAAACTCCTCGAAGGTGGGACCGCAACGAGGATAGGCGCCGCTCGCGCTGCGGCGGCGAAATCGATGGACGACCTTGGTGCCCAGCGCCTTGTAGAAGCTATTGCGATTGCCCTCCAGCTTGTTGCGATACGCGCTCAGAATACGCTCGAAGGGATCGCGCACAAACAGAAAGGACAACGCGCTGGGCAACAGTTCCAGCAGCTCGGCCAGACCCGGACGGGGGAAACGCTGTCGGGCCAGCTCCAGCGGCTGTACTTCCGTTCGCTGCAGATATTTCAGATCGTAGCCGGCTAACGGGATAATAGAGAAATACTTTCATATAGTAACTATATGTCAAATTTGCCTCTAGCTCTTAAAACCTAAGGGATCGATTTGAAATGGGCTTACTAGGATGCCTCACGTGCAAAATTTCAATTTTCAATTTCTCTAGTTCTTATACTTAGGTTCTGAGATACGGACGGACAGACGGACGGACAGTCAGGCGAACTCGTCTATTCATATTGATCAAGAATATATATAGACTTAATGGGATCGGAAATGCTTCCTTCCGCCTGTTCAAACATTTGTACAAAGCCAAGCCACCTTGTGACCCATTGTCAATGGGTTCACGGCATAAAAGGTAAGCTAGACTGTTTTCAATATAATCCGAATGATCTTACTAAAATGGAGTTCTAATTGGAGTTCTTTCGCTTAAGGAAGAGATTCAGAAGGTCGCCCATGTAAACTCAGCTTTTGGTTGGACTTGTTTCCCTTACTCACCCAGTATGTTGAAGTAGTACAACCAGGTGCTGCTGGCCGCCTTGAAGACATTGCACCACACCAGATTGTTGTGGCCGGGCGAGATGAAGAACTCCCATGGATTTGGCGGATACTTGTCCTGCAGCTTGTACCGCCCGCACACGGTCGCCAAATGCTCGCGGCGCAGCTTTAAGTCCCGCTCGGTGCGGCTATGCAGTTCCTCCGAGTACTCGTAGGCCGGATTTAATGTACTCGTTGAGGCGGCCGTTGTCTCTTTCGTTATGGTAGAGCTCCCATTTGCCACACCTGGTCGGATACGTTGGAGAGCCCGTTGGCGTTGCAGTTGCTTGAGCTTAAGCTTCGACGGTTCGGCGTATTCCGCTGCCTCGAAACCCGTGGTCGTGGTACGTTCCCGATGCTCAAAGGCATTAAGCGATTCCCGGAACAGAAAGGCAAAATAGAAGACGCCCACCAAGACAAAGGTGCCTATTTTCAGGTACGTGTGTAGGCGTCGTCCAGATGGCAAACGAATGTGCATTTTGAGAGGAGCTGGATCCTTCTTGTCCTACCCACTTTACAGCGCCGGCATGTTATAGGCCTGTAGATTGTCTCTGGTTGTGAAAATAATCTATACTATTTATACTTGCAACAATTAGTATAATACTAATTATAAATTTTAAGAAAAAGCTTGGGCTTGGAACGTTACACAAAAAGTCGGACATTATTCCTGAGTGTCAACAATTGGTTTTGTTTTGATAGGAATTATGTTCGTCCTCAGTTGAGTGACCTCCATGCCCAACCTTCAAAGCATATTTTACTTCACACTATATAAGTACTTAGTTTTTTAGTTTTAACGTTTTTAAGGGGAGGGTCCTACAAGTCACGCTCTTTAATTATGCTTCGAACCCTTTAAAAATGAGTTAAAAGTGTATAATGTTTTTGTGCAAATGTGTGTAACAGGTGGAAGCACGCATATCCGGCTCAATAAAGTATATATAATCTTGATAAGCAGAGTCGTTCTAGCCTTGTCCGTCTGTCTGTCCGCAAAGATCTCTGAACCTATAGGAGCTACAGACTTGAAATTTTGAACATAGATCCTCCTAGTGCCCCGTTTCCAAGCAATCCATAAGTCCATATCGAAAATCCATTTCGAAATTCAGTTTTTCGAGCAAATCTCTTATGTTTTAGGAGGTAGAGTCATCAAATTGCCAGCCCCTCGCCTACACAACATAGCTATAAAACAAATACATACATATATAAACCAATTTGATCTGCCCACCAATTAAAGTCTTAATTTTAATGTAATTGTCTTTTTGCGAATATTCGAATATTCTATCGTAGAAGCTGATTTCCGATTTTCGATTTCATCAAGATTGGTTAAAAAACACAAAAGTTATTCAAGAAAACGGGGGCTTTTATTGGACACGTGTTTGCGGCAATAAGCAAGAATTTCTGTATACATGTACACACACACACACACACACACACATTATTGCGCGTCTTTAATGAATGCTTTAACTGTATTGTTTTGTGTGCTGTGTGTGTATGTGTGTATGTGCTGCTATCTTAATACGTTTTTTTTTTTTTTTGCGGAGTAAGCGGAATGTTGGAATGGCTGTCAAGTAGAGGCGCTGGCAAGTGGCGCTGTCTGTGACGGGTTCGAGTCTTAGTTTATTTTTATTTATTTTTTTATTACTGCTAAAGGTGCATTTGGTGTGGGCAAAAGAAGGTTCTGGGTATTCCCAGGTGGAGAGCACCCTTATTAGTTTTTCACTGCACATTGTATGAAACTGTCAACGACTTTTCGCACTTTATTTATTTATGAAAATTGATTTTTCCATTTCTTTATTATTATATTTTGGGTATGCACATATTTTACATACATATGTAGGTGTAAATTTTGACCAACTGTGAGACTCTGTGAGTATACAGCACTTTCTGCCTAAGGCCCCACCTTGGGTTATTAGCTACTGCACTTTCTATAGGTCTGCCTGACCACTTTGTCGTCAGCTCCAAACGGCGACTCACACTCAACTGTCGGCTGCTCTTTGCTGGCCGCCTGTCATACTCCTAAGCAAATCCTCTATTCCCTGTGTGTTCTGCGCAAGCGCTGGGAGCGCAATTGCGCTGACATTAACATTACATAGAACATACTTTAAATATTTGAAGCACTTGCGTGTCTCAGGCATCTACATCTTATTTCATTATTCAAATTTTGTATCTGCGAAACATTCTTAAGTCTTTTTTAGCCATAAATAAACTTAATAACTCGCACATGTTTTGAGTGAATTTTCATAAAGATCCTTGGATATGAATTTGAGCTAGAAACCACCAAATCTTTGACTCGCCTTTCTGACAAAGAGGTATCGAAAAGTGTGGAGCACCTCCTAAAGAATTTTTGATCTTTGAAAATGATTTTCGTTTAGCGACACGTATTCTTTATGTTTTTATGAAAGACTTTGAAAATAAGTTTGAACTAAAAGAACCTTTAACCCGATTTTTCCACCGCGGAGGCTTGCATTATGGAAGAAGTGTTAAATACTCCTAAAATGAATTTTCTAAAAGATCTATGCAAAAGAGTTTACACGCGAATATTTTCTTACTCATCCATTGACCCGCATTTATCACCCAAGACGGGCGGATTTTTCGAATAGTGTGAAACATGTATCAAATAGGTTTTCACAAAAATTTTCGAAAATAATATTAAAGCCCATCGGATTTCATAAGCGAACTACAGAAAAAGTTAATTTAAAAAAAGTGTGGTTATGTTGGCAAGCTTCAAGGCATTGGCTGCTAGCGCAGATTTGAACAATTTCTGTTCACATTTACACACACACACGCACACACACGCACACACACACACATTCATGCGCGTCTTTATTGAATTCTGATATTTAAATTCGATTTTTTCTCGCAGCAGATGAGTTGTTCCAATGGTTATCGGGTAGTAGCCGTGGCAGATGGCGCAGTCCGTTGCGGGTTCGAGTCTTACGGGGGAACCATTTTTTTAATTTAATATCTTGTTTTCCTGGAACGTTATACGATGGACTTCAAACTGATAGTCAAAAAGCTATGTGTAATTTAGACATGAAATTCAAGATAGTACGGGTAGATTTCAAATTCACTCAGGAGTTGTAGTTATAAATAAAATGTTATAGTTATAAATAAACTTGACACGGGTAAGACCGGTAAATAGCCGATAGTACAATATATGATTTGCTGTTTTTTCATTTTTGAAGATAATGTTTTATGTATGGGTTGTTGACGGTATAAAAAGGAAATGATTTTTGTTTTTTTTTTTAATTTTTGTGTATATTAAATCTTTGTATTTTCTTTTTTCTATAAATATTTTTTTACTTTAATGTTAAAGTACAAACAAATTCTTTATAATAAATTTCTAATACTACGTTTTAAGACACTTTCGTTTTATTTTTGTTGTTCTTCATCTTGTGTTGTTACATGCAATTGCTTTTTATTAATATTTAATTTTTTAATTTAACCGTGTGTGTATGTCTTTGTTGCACGAGTTTGTGTTGAATGGCATTGGCATATAAGAACTAATTTCGTTTATACAACTCTGCCATTAACAATTTTGCAGATTTAAATTGCGGTGAAATTGAATTTATTTATTTTCATATTGCTTGTGAATTTCGTGTGTGGATAACTGTGAAATGCTTAGAATTGTTGACATCCATATGGTTTTTATGGGGTTTTTGTATCATAACGAACTCGTTTTATATATGTGTTCAGAGATATAATATGTACATATATCGGTACTATATATGAATGTTATTCTAAAGGATCGTGGTTTTATGTAAGTTTCTCTCTTCATTCTTTACATTAACCATGAACTAAGTATCAAAAAGACTTATTTAATTAGCAATCATACAATACACATAAGATAATAATATTGAACAATATATATATGTATGCGTTTAAAGAAATATTAATATAATGTGTTTGTTTAGCGTTTTGCTTCTGCTATGCATCTTCATTTTCCCCTAATTGTTTAAATAACATTTAGCAAAAATAGAGCCTGCTTTATATACAATACAACTTTTGCTTTCGTTTTTTTTTTATTTTTTATTTTTTATGTTTCTTGTTTTGTGTGTATGCAAAATATATAACATTATATACGGCTTCTTTTTTGTATATAAGTGTAGACATATGTTCATTCGCTTTGCAAAACTACAAACACTTTTTATATATTTCTCTCTGGTCTACACGCTATTTTATCGTGGTTTGCCTTGACTAACTTATTGCAGAGGTTTTTATGTGCATATATTGGTAGAGAATTTTCGTTAATATTATGAGCGTTTAAAACTAAAAAACAAATTTTTTCGAAACAACGCAAACGTTTGCATAAAAAAACTATAAGGACTATATATCTATATTTCGTGTGCATATACTTAAAATATAATAAAATAAAAATATAAAAGTATGGTCTGATTTGTTTTGCAATCTTAAGCTTGAATCATTAGGATAAACCGTAGTAAATTATTTATATTCTTAAATGAGTTTATGTTGCATTTATTTGAATAATGTCTAAAGTATATACAAGAGCTTAGATGAGAAAATGAAAATACGCATGCGTTTTATAGGGTGTTTGAGTTAACTACTTTGTTATACATTTCTGCACATATTTGTTTTTCATCTAATTTGTTCAATACATTTTTTGATCTTCACATAAATTGTCTGTTTCACTTGACTAGCAAATCTATTAACCATGGGATATTTGATGAAAAGTAGCGCTCAATTAGTAAGGGGTAGTTTCAAAATTAATAAAAAAAAAAATAAGTGAAACATGGATTTATGTGTGTGATGCTGCTCGTCAGAGATGCAACATTATTGCAACCTTTGTTTACAACTAACTATACAAATATTCAAGGAAAAACCTTTACAAAAACTTTTTACAAACAAAAGAATTGGCTTTTGTATGCTTGTGTGAGTTTAAGCTATTTACAGAGCTCAGAGCTGTAAAACAAAGCATCGTAAACAATTCTTTATCAAAACGACGCCGTTATGCCGTTTGCGATGAGCTACTGCCGACAGAACGATCATCGGCTGTCACGCTCAAGTCCGGAACGGATTCCTGAAAACTTAATCCCATGTTGTTGTTAAGCGGCACCATGTTGAGAACCTCGCTAACATCACACCATTGCTGCTGCTGGTGTTTGCCAGCATTAACATTTTCATTTGAGCTTCCATCGCGGATTTCGAGGTTTTGATCGTCCTTCTCACTCAGGAGGTTATTCAGACACATGTTGAACTCATCGTAGTCTACAAAGTTGCCGCAGTCCAAGGCTGTGGCATTGCTCAAATCTGGCATAAGCAGGCTGACCGCATCAACGGTCAGCGCTGAAGAAATATTAACGAGATCCTCTTTGACATCTTTAATATCGTTTTCAACGCTGCCGTCCTCCTCGACGTCGCCTTCAACGTTTTGCGCCTGGTCCAAAGGGAAACTAGTGCTGAAATCAAACCTATCCGGAATATCCAGTTCGATTAGCTCAACCAATTCGTCCTCGTCAGCATCGTTTGCCTGATTAATTCCCTTAGCCAAGGCGCAAAACTCTGGTCACTTGTAATCACGCGAAGTCCTTCTTCGTCGTCCCTCGGTCAGCATAGACTCGCTGATTACTATAAGTTTCCAAATTTTATACAATCTACTATTACATTTAAGTTGCTTAAGCCAAAATTTACCTGCACTGCGCGTTTTTCGGCGCGCTTCTGCCACACTCTCCACACTCGCATTCGTATTGGGATTGGCCGCTCCGCTGACTACTCCGGTACTCGCAGTTCCAGTTTTACCCGTCGTCCCTTTGTGCTCTGCGGCTGCAGCCGCAGCAGCAGCGGCTGCATTGCTTCGACTGTATATAATTTTGTTGGCAGCAGCGCTCGCCCTGACGCTCCTTCTCGTGCCAACTTTTTCGTCTGTTGGCGAATTGGTGGTTACAACATTATTGTTGTTAGTAATGTTGCTGGTATTGCCACCGGTAGCAGCGGCTGCTGTTGCGCCACGTGTTGCATGCACTACATTCGCGTTATTGTTGTTGTTGTTGTTGTTTGATGTTGCAGCTGTTGCCGTGTTGCTGACAGTCAGCAACGTCGCACTGTTATTGTTGCTGCTTGTTGCAATGGGCTGCGCTTTGGCTGTCTTCTGTGTCGGAGTGGATGTAGTAGTGTTCAAACTGGGAGCTTCTGTAAAGTACTCGGGACTGACTGAACAAAGAATTACCTTTAAATTGAATTTGTTTTACTCACTGTGTTGCTGCTGCTGCTGCTGCTGTTGCTGCTGTTGCTGCTGTTGCTGGGCATTACGTCTGGTCACGTGCCTTTCCTCAAACTGTGCTTTTGAATTGCGCACCTTGCCTGCCACCTCGATTAGTGGCTCGTCCGAGTCGGAAGACTCTATTTCGATCTTCTTCGATAGCATATAATTGAGCCCCGTTTGGTCTGTTATTTCCGCATTATTGTTGTTGTTGCCGCCACTGCTGCTGCCACTGCTGACACGTGCACGCTTGGCGCTGTTGCTGCTGCTGCTAGTCTCGCCGACAAGACTGGCGTCGATGGTTCCATCATTGCTGCTGCCGCACTCTGACTCTTGGCGACGACGTTTTATACAGGTGTTATTATTATTGTGCACAGGTGTTGTCGTGCTCTGACGAGGGCTCGGGACTGGCGTAACACGGGTTGCACTTCTAATCGGCAATGTTGGGGTTGCTGTCGCAGAAGATGTTGGCATGACTACAGCTGACTGTTGTTGTGCATCTGGGCTGGTCTTTGGAGCGTCCATTGGACTCTCTAGTCGACTTGTAGCGCGTGTTCTGATCCGCGGCGTTTCAGTATCCAACTGAGGGGGTATTTCAATTGATATGGGTTGGAGTGCGTCGGTTAGCTTTTCTTTTTTCTCATCCACCGCGTCTTCTTTGTCCGGAATGGATTCGCGATTTATTCCAGGCTTTGGTTCCTGTTTAATAGCCGTTACAGCCGTTTGTCGGTTGTCCTGCAATTCAGTTTCCTCCGGTTTACAGGACAAGAGCGTCGGCTGATCCTCCAAAATATTTTTTTCTATTTTCATCTCCGCTTCTGTATTTGGATCCCTTACAGTTGTTGATAATAGCACTGTTGTTGCTGGTGACGGTTTATTTTTATCCTCCGTTTCGATGTTATCCGTTAACTTTTTAATGAGATCGTCGTGTTCAAGTATAACATGTTCCCCATTCAGTTTCGGGGTGCTTGGCGCAATTGTTGTAGTCAAATGGAAGCCAGCCCCCCTAGTTGCAGCTACAGTCTCCTTTGATGCACTGGCTACAATGTTCTCCGAGTCATCCGGAATGTCTCCCTCCATTTTGGCCAGTGCCTTTTCAATCTCATCGTCGGCATTCTGCAGCTGCTGAAGTTTACTATTGCCGCTTGTTGTTGGAACTGCTGTTGAGGCAACTGCTGCAGATTGGGTTATTGTAGTTGATGCACTTCCAGAAATTATTGCTTGCTTGGTAACCAATTGTTGTTGTTGCATTTGTATGGGACTGCTGGAGGATTGCTGATGCGGACTTTTTTCAGAGAGCGCATCCATGGACTCTATACCACTGTCTTCGCCGCCGCCATTGTTGCCATGACCGGGAGTGCCGCTACCATTGCTGGCGGGCGAATTGCGCAAAGTGCTGGCCAGCACAGACGCCGGCGTTGGTGACGATGTTACGCTTGTTGTTGTACTCGCTACTGTTTGTAGACTCACATGGTTTAGTTTGGGATGCCCTGACGTTATTGTATGTGCATTTGTACTTCCAATCGCATTCTCATTGACATTATTAATAATAGTCGAGTTCATCGAGATTGCCACGGGCAGCTTTCTCTCCCCAATCATTGACAATGTTGCAGTCGCAGTCGCAGTCGGTGTTGTGGGCGAGGCCGTGGTGACCTTTATTGTGGCTGTATCGGTGTTGCTCGGCGCCCGTTTGGTGATTTCGACACGCTTCAGCGTCGTCGCACTTGGCAGCATGGTAACGGCCGCCGCCAGTTGTTGTTGCTGCTGCTGCTGTTGCTGCTTCTGTAACTGCAGCTGTTGCACAGCGGTGATGTATGGCGGCGGCTTATGGTTTTTTGTCATCGGCTTACCACCCACAATGGGTGTAATGGTGGCTGCAGTCTTAATGGGATTCTTTAAGGTAATATTGCTTAGCACGCGACTGTTGCTACTGCTATTGCTAGTATTATTATTATTGTTACTATTATTATTGTTATTGTTATTGTTGTTGTTGTTGTTGTTGTTGTTAGTGGTGCTGGTGCTTGTGATAGCGCTAAGAGTGATGCTACTTGGCAACGAGGTGGCAATCTTGCTAAGCTGCTGCTGTTGCTGGATGGTCGTGGTGGTGCCAGTGTTAGTTGATCCCACGGTCGCTAGATGCCCATCGCTGGCTTGCGATTTGTGTGCCTCCACAATGGCACTAATTGTAAGCCCGTTCTTTCCGGCCACAATTGTTGTGGTCTTAGCACCTGTTGGCAACTGTTGCGCTGGGTGAACTGATTGCGGCGGCAATGGTGGTGGTGGCTGTAGGTTCTTTTGTAGCAGAATGCCAGAGCTGGGTAGCCCATTCACATGTGGCGCAGATATCAACTTCGACTGTTTGCTCTCCGTCCCTCCGTCCATTACTAATGCTGGCTGTTGCTGTGCCTCATGATCGCTAAGGGTTCGCTTTATTTGGCGAGCCCTTTGATCTTCGTCAGTGGCCAAAGGCTTTTTCCGCTCCTTGCGCGTATTCTTCACAACCACTGAGTTTTTGCCGCGAAGTCGAATCTGAAGCGGCGGAACACGTGGCTCACTCAGTCCAACGGCACCACCTTGCTGTGGATCAGTTTGTTGCTGATGCTGGAAATTGCTATAGACTGAATGGTTTTGCTGCTGCTGTTGTTGTTGCTGCTGTTGTTGTTGTTGCTGTTGTTGTAGTTGCTGTTGTTGTAGTTGCTGTTGTTGTAGTTGCTGTTGCTGTTGTTGTTGATGTTGTTGCTGATGTTGTTGCTGATGTTGTTGCTGATGTTGTTGCTGATGTTGTTGCTGATGTTGTTGTTGATGTTGTTGCTGATGTTGTTGCTGATGTTGTTGCTGATGTTGTTGTTGATGGAGCTGCGATGCTGGTAGAGTCAGCAATTTCGCCTGCGTCGGTAGTTGGTGCTGCTGTAAATGATTGCTGTCCATTATGGCATTGACTTGGACATGCTGATGCTCATAAGACGCTGCAGCTATATCCACCTTCTCCAGTTTAAGTCGCAGCTTGATTTTCTCCTCTGCAATGGCTGCTGCCGACACGGTCACTGCTGTTGTTTTAGCCCTAGCATTTCCCTTGGCACGTTCCCTTTTTGGCTTTGGGGTAGCCGTTGCTGTTGCATCCTTTGCTTTGCGTTCCTTCACACCCTGTTGCAGCTTATCGCGCAGGAGATTTGGTTTAGTTTTCTTACTATTGCCAGTGGTGGCAAGAGTGCTATTTCCTGCAGTATCAATCAGGGAAGAACTGTGGCCTGATTGAGAAGAGTCGCCGGAAGCGGTGGACTGCATTTGCATCTGCATCTGTTGGGTTTGCGTGGGCTGGCATTGGTTCGCCTTGTGCTGCGTCATTTTTCTCGAACGATTCGATGCAGATTTGTTGGAAGCAAGGGAATCGTGAGAACGCTCTTGATCACTGCTACCCGCTATTGGCAGCTGTGAACCAGAAATTGCCGAATTGGAGTCCTCCTCGGAGAAGATGTTGTTCGGCAGCAACATGTCGTTGGCAGGATTAAAGCTCGTGTAACCGCTCAGGCTATTCGACATGCTGCGAAATTGAAGTTGCGTTGTTTCTTGCTCGGCCTCCGTATCACTGTCATCGCTAGCCATAGGCTCCATATCGCCAGTATGGGGATTTATGATGAACTGCTTTTGCTGGACATTTCCTGGTGCTTGTTGTTGCTGCTGCTGCGCCAGTTTCTTTTGCGCAGCAACTTGGGCATTTGGACTTTCAACTTGTTGCTGCTGCATGTAAAGTAGTTGTTGTTGATGCGTGCGATGCGGCACTTGCTGCTGAGGCAGGTGAATCTGGCGCTGCAACTGTTGACGTTGTTGTTGCTGTTGTAGCTGTTGCAATTGAGTTAATTGTTGCTGTCTCTGCTGCTGCAACAACTGCTGTTGATTGAAGGGCTGCATGTCCAACATTTGAGTTTGTTGCTGCTGCTGCTGTTGCTGCTGCTGTTGCTGCTGCTGTTGTTGCTGGGGTTGCTGGGGTTGTTCTATGCATCCGGGCGTATCCTGAAGCGTACTCAGGGCATCTCCTACATCCATGCCGACCGCCGTCAAATTATCCTCGATCAAGTCCAAGTCTAGATCCTTGGCATCCTGAAGCAATGATTCGAGCTCGTTCTTATCCTCAAGGCTCAGCGTTGAGTCTAGATCACAGTTTAAAGTTGGCAATAAAGCGTCTAAATCGTTGGTTGTTAAGGCGTCGAGGTCGGACAACGAAATCAATGGATCATTTAGGCCATGACCAACGGCTGTAATGTTCGTAACATTCTGCGCTTCCTGTGCTGCCCCTAATTGCTGGATTGGTACCGGTAACTGTTGATGCTGCCGTTGTCCGGCCCCTGTCAGTGCTATCGTTCCTGGTGGTACCATTTCTCCCGTATTAGATGCTGCTGTAGTCTGTGCTGGACCGTTGTTAATTTGCTGTTGCTGTAGATTGTATTGCATCTGGTAGCGCGTGAATTCCTGAAAACTGATTTTAGTAACCGAATCCATCGGCTTATTTAGCGCGGGCCAGCGCGAATTCGCCGCCGCCTGATTGTAGTCGGGAGGCGGTGGCAGCTGCGCATTGCCCGCGCCTGCTACAGGTACAAGGTGAGCATGTTGCATATTAGAGATTGGTTGCATCTCTTTTTGCTTTTGTTGAAGCTGCGCCAACTGATGTGAATGTGGACTTTTCGGCGTGTTCGAAGGCGAAAGCATTGACGAAGGAGGCTGATGGTTAGCCATCAGCGGACTGTGCATTGAGTGATGGCTGGATGCAGGTGAATGGGCAATCGGCGAAGCGCCGCCATGAGACATAAACTGCTGCGCCTGAGGCGAAGACAACGGCATGCTCATAAGTCGCTGATGTTGCTGTGGAGGCGGCGGTAGACCTGCTCGGATTTGCTGCTGCCTCAACTGCTGCTGCGATTGTTGCACGCTTTGATTATTGAAGCAATCTGCGGAAGTCAAAGTATTAGTTAATAACTGAATATAAAGATTAATGCTACTGCTGTGCGCTTGCTTACCAGTCTGTTGCTGCCCAAGAAACTGCTGCTGCTGCTGGGGTGGCATAAATCGTGGGTGTATGCCCTGCATCTGATGATGGCGCTGTTGATGTACCTGTTGCTGTTGGTGACGCAATGCCACCGCATGCTGAAATCGATGTGGTGTGGGCACCTGATTATACAGATTCGCATTGCCACTAGGACTGAGGAGCAGCTGCTGGTGCTGCTGCTGTTGCTGCTGTTGTTGTTGGTTTGGCAGGTTGCGCATTAATACGGGCCCGACCCCGGTTGGAGAGGAGGGCACCACCGGACTAGGCACGTTTCCAATGTCGAGAGGTGCACCTGTGGTTCCCATGACAAAATCATTAGGAGTGGCTGGGGAGCACCGCATTGGCGAGCTGGAGTTCATCATTTGTGTGCTTGGACTCATGCTAACTATTGGTGACTGCGGAGTTGTTGGCGCCGCCAACTGGGGCGACTTCATTTGACTTGAAATTGTATTGCCGTCGTTTTGCAGCAGGTTGACCAATAGTGGGGATGATATTGCTATATTATTGCTGCCTGACAATGTAGTTGTAGGCGCTGGTGCTGCAGATGAAGATGTCGTCATATAAGTCTGTGCCGGCTTCGCGCTTGGTGCAACAACTGCCGAATTGCTATTGTTGGGTGTTGTCAAACTTGAACTTGGACCTAGACCGGGATATGGTGGAGGCGGATTTACGAACTGAGATTTATTGGAGGTTCCCGCAAGAATTGTGGTTGCAATAACCTCGCCGTTCTGCGTTGTTTGATTATTTAACAGATTGAGAGTCGCAATCGGGGGTGGCGGCGGTGGGCCCAGTGCGTTTATGCTACCTGTTGTTGCCGTATCCCTGCCCTGCAGGACACGTGCCTGTCGCATACTTTCGAACGGGAAATCTCTTGGCACATTAAGCGTGCCTGCAGGTGAGGGCAGCAAAGGCACTTTGCCTTCCATGGGACACACTGTGTTAGGGGACTTGAAAACAGGCGGCGTCGTATTTGCATTACTGTACGGCGAGGATGGTGTCTGCGGCGGCAATGACTGTTGAATTAGTTTCTGCTGCGTTAGCACATTTCGCCGCTGCTGATGTAATTGCTGCTGGCTAGAGATTGCATCGTTTTGCGTCATTTGCGTGATTCGCTGATGTTGTGTATAGGCTGCTTTGCTTGTACTGGGACCATCGAAGGTGGGCGCCGCCAGAGGCGTCGTCGCCGAATTGCCAACGCCAACATTGAGGGCGGCTTTGTTGGAAGACGTGCCAGCCGCCTCAATTGCACCGATTGCGACATCTTTTAAAGTATCTATAAATTAAAGTTACGACAAGCGTATTAAAAAGAAAGGAGCGTTTATACCTAAACGTTATTGGATAATACCTACCTTTTGTTATTTTAATATCTTGTCCTCCAACATTTAAAGCTATCACAGAATCGCCTTCAGGCTGCACGGAAAGAATCCCGAGCGCACGCAGGGTGGGATTGCCCTCGACGGCCAGTTGACGCAGTCGTTGTGCTGCATCCCAGGGGAGAGACACCGATATCCGCACAGACGGTTCAAGCTGCTGTAAGTGAGAGAGTTCAGTTAATAAATGCATTGTAAATTATATACATTTAAGGAAGCAGGAGGCAATGATATTCCTAGTGATGTAAAACAGTACGATATGCCAACATTTATCGTCTATCGAAAACTGAGCTTGCACATGCAGCCCTGTTGTAATAGCCACACAATAAATTCGTAGGTAACGATGTTGTGTATGTACCCAGTAAGCAATCACATTTTTATAAAACTGCCTGTAACTTTAATTCATTATTAAATAATAGAACAATTAAGTTCTTGGTAATTGTTGAGCCAGCCATGGACAGAAAAAATAAAAAACAATTAAACATTTTGACGTTTCTGTTTTGTGCTCGTACTTCGTGTAGCGTGCGAGAGAGATGGTTATATAGGGTTGTTGGAAATTCCAACAACAATTTATTACAACAGAAATATACGGATATTATTAATCCATATCTAGCCACTTATGCTGCATTATAAAACAAAACAATTTACTACTTTGGGTCATACCAACAATATCTCAAATGCACAAATAAAGAAAAATGCAAAAGCCCCCTGGTGAGAGGTTGCTCACGTTCTCATTTTCGACATACGTTATCGATATCTCGTCGCCATTTTTCTTAAGGCTCTGGAAAGGGTTGGTGCAAGAGGGGCAGGAATTGGTAACCAAAACACTGCTGTGGTCACCTTCGTTCCTTATTTCCATTTATTAAAATCCCAGAAAAAATATAGAGCCGTACGCACACAGGTGCATTTAACGCATGACACGTTCGAAAACGGTTTTTTATGTAAATGAAAACGGCGTGGGTGACGCAAGTTTTTAATAAGCAAACACGACCCCTCCACCTCTAAATTCTTGAATGAAAATGCAGAAGTCGCGAATCAGCTGTTTGGGCAAAGTTGACTGCGGCTAAATAAACCCAAAATCAGTTAAACCATCAAAAATGATGGAAGAAAGTGACACGGGAACACAAGTGCATTAATGCCTACATATGTACTCACCTGTTTAAGTGGCATATCATCACACGGCAATCGTACCCGTCGTAGATTTAATTGGCAAAGTGTTGTACAAATTTTGCATTTAGTACAAGCGCACACAATTCTTGCTGTTTCTATTTCTATAATCACGAATGTGTATCGACATCAACATCGTGGCCAATTAATAAATTCGTTTTTGTTTTCCAAACTATAAGACGCGCATTGTTTCGTTCTTTGTATTTAAACAATTGCATGTTTGCACTGCACGCATTTTCAACTATTGTAAGCTTGTTAATTTCATAGAATATGACACAAAAACACAGGTCCTAACATTACCGCCCCGCACACTTAAAATTGTTTTTGCTCCACGGTATGCACCAACTAAATTGCTGTTTGGTTTTTATTTTGGTCTTTATCTGCACTTTTGCTGCTCGTTTGCATCCACCCATGCATATGTGTTTTTCAGGAGCTCAACGTTAATTTGTTATTTAACTTAATTTAACTTTAACATGCACATCTTCTGTTTCCGACGCATTTTTCCGATTTAAGACAACGTGGAGTGTGGGTGAAGGCGTCCAGTAATTGGGCGCTCCTCTGCTGGTGCTGGCGATACTGATTTGCTTTTGATTTGACTTTTCCAATCTTTTTAAAAGCAGCTAACTGCATTTAATTGCAAGTATTAGTTTTTAAAAAATTAGTAATGCACTTTTCACAGCATGTAGTGAAATATTCTGGTGTCACAGTTGTTTTTTCATTGCTTTGGAAATAATAATATTGCTTTTCACTTTGAATATTTTTCTTGTCACAATTTTCGATTGAACAAAGTTTCTGGTGCTGATTAAGACAACCTACGAACGGATACAAAGTTTATAGTTATACAAGCAGTCAACAGAATATTATTAATTGATTTTAAGCTTATTGGTATTTCTTTCGCGTAGTGTTTTTGTTGTTTATTTTGTAAAAAAATCTTCGTAATTATTGAAATTCCACGAACAATAACAACCGCCATTTGCATTCGCCTTAGTGGTAGCCATTTTTATTTTCCAGTCAGTGTTGACCTTATATTTGTCAACAAGACGTACTAAAAATGCCAGCAAATAGCGCTCAGTGTTGCCAACTAAAAAAAATATTGTCTTATAATGTTTCTCAGACAATTTATCGTAAAGACTAAATTTCCTGGAAATTACTATAATAAAACTGTAGAATTCAAATATTTTCTGGAAAATTTCTTAAAAAAAACTCTAGAGCTATAATCTTTTTATGAAAATGTTTTTTTTTATACTAGAATAAGAATATTTGATACGGGAAATTTATAAATTTCAAAATTTTCCTAAAAATATCGATATTTATAGAACTTGTTAGTTTAAATCACTAATTAGTTTATTGGTTAGATGAGTAAATCTCGAGAATTTAGTATTTTTTTAATGTATATATATTTGTACGTTTGTTAGGTTGCAGGGTAGAATATTTGTGTCAAACAAATAAACTAAAATCGGTGTAATATCAAGAGCAAAAAGTGAAATATCGGAATCCGATATTAGATGCAGATACCTTCGACAATCGAATCGCAGCATTAACATAGTGTGGCCACCCCAAAAACCATTTGTGTCATGTGGCAACCTTACAGAATATTTGATTAGAGTGGCAGCATTCATAGTGAATAATCTGCAAATGTGAGTAAAATAAAAAGTTCAGTAATATCTTTACAGTATTAATATCTTGTGTCGGTAAGGAGTATCGCGTAAATAATTCATTTCAAATTTAGTAGCCGATTAAATGTTTGTTGTCTGAATTTTTCGTAAAGGAATTTGCTGTACAGAAAAGTTACATAACTACTACTGACCAGTGAAAATTCTATTTACAGTCAACAATAATATGGCCAATACTCCAGCAACCTCCAGCAGCGCCGGACCCGTGCTGCGCGGCCTGCACAATGCGACAATCAAGCGCAATCTGGCTGTGGCGCTTGGCCTAACTGCAATTGTGACAGTTGCCTTTAAGGTTTTGGTCAATGATCCAAAAAAAGCTGCCTATGCTGAGTTCTACTCGTATGTACTAAACTCCCCAACAGGCTTTCGCCTTAACTCACAAGCATTTGGTTTGATTTACAGGAAATACGACGCCAACAAGTCCTTCGAGCGTATGAAGGCTGCCGGCCGTTTCCAGTCGTGCTGAACTAGCTCTAGGTCTAGACGGAATAGTATAAGACATGAAAATGTTGCTGTTGCATTGAAAACCAAATACACTTCAATTCGTATGTGAATTGCTCTGTTTTATTTGCAGCCCCAATTCAAGTCGGGATGGAAATCATTTATTAATTGGTTTCTAGAAACTTATCGAAATAGTGCACAAAACAAACACAAAAACCATAGACACAGGACAACATTTAAAATCGAATTGCAAAGTCTTTGTAGTCCAGTCGATTTAAATTGCTCTGATTTCGCAACTCACAACGCTCGATCTGACAGCCCGGCGAGCCCTCGCTGGACAGCCAGGTTATCCTGTAATTGAAATTTGAGCATTAGTTATAAAAGTATAATAAGCAATGCGTATGTAACGTACATTTTGTCCACCTCCGCTTTGGGGCCCTGCATTTTGCCCACAATGGTGCCTCGCTTGCTGTTCTTGACCCAACCTGTGATTCCTGCTTTGGTGCAGCGATCACGCGTGTCTTTCGTCAGATTTAAGCCTGCCGATTACACAAACATTCTCTGCTATAATTACTTTGTATTTTGCTAACAATCAACAACGAAACAAAGCCAAGGACATGAAATGCCGAGCTACTGTCCAAGATATATTTTTAGCACGCGGCGCTTGGCGAACAGGCGACGGCAATGGGGATTTAAGTAAACTATTAACTCTTAACCTTGCACATGTCCAAACACCTCGAATTCCAGTGTGATCAGCTGACGTATGTCAGGTATGCCCATGTCGATCGCTTACACTTTCTGTCCTGGCTGCGATTATGTAAAGTTATGGACCTGCTGAGGCCCTGAGTCATATGTGTACACAATTAACTTGGTTGGCTTTCAGTACATTATAAAGTCTCTGATAACTTGTATTTGATTAAATAATTTGATAATCGGAAAAATCGAATGATCAATTGCAATTGATTTGGCTGTTGCGGGTATGATTTTCAGCAAACCGTCGACGATTTTCAACTGAAATGCCAAGTTTTTTGCATTTCACGCCTTGCTTCAATATCAATTGCTTTCTATTTTGCGCTTTCGATTTACATTTGCGTATTTATTTTAGCTGCGCAAAATCCACCCCCCCCCCCCACTAACCCCCCCTCGTGTTGCCTTTTAGTTTTTTATTTTCAGCGAAATTGGTCTGATAAATGCTTGGCCAGGTACCCTACGCGTTGACTAAATTTAATACATATTCAACTACTCTATTTAGGCCTTATTTAAATCAAATTTTAATATAAATAACATCAGGCAATGATAAGTGACAACTATTATTAATGTTATTGTTATTATTATATTATTAAAAATAATGTAAATTTTTCAATTAAATTTTATTCTTTGATTGTCAAATATATATATTGTATTTTTTCCATACTTTTATGGAGTGAGAAATGCAATTTAATTTGTATTCGTATTACTAATTTTTTAAAATTTAAATTTTACAAAATACTGTGAGTTAATTTGATGTTTCTTCGCGAAATTGAAAATTGTTGCACTACTTTATTTATTGTTCAAAATTACAAATATATGTGCTCGATTTGTAAAATCGAAAACAGAGCATATTCCGGTCGCCAAAACTGTAGGAATTAGTTATATGTACATATAAAGAATTTGCAAATTTCCTTACAATTTCGATAAACAAAAGAAAAAACAAACATACAATAGTTTGTGCCTCTAAGAAATATGTAGAATAAATGTATATAGAAAGCGAAAACTAGATTGCAGTGCATAATGTACAGAAGGAAAGGAAAAGTGCAAAAGTGGCGAATTTGTACCAACGATTTAATGTACATACGTACGTTAGTATAACACATAAATATATATATATTGAGTTTTGTACAGTTAAAAATAGCAATAATAATGTGAGAGCCCAACAAGCCAGGCTGTTAAGTATGCTTTTGTCTCCAAGCACGAGCTAAACTTAAGTTTATTCATTTAAAATTAGTTAAACATGGTCTGTCACGAGAATTGATTCCGATTCCGGTTCAGATTCAGATTCAGATTCAGATTCAGATGATCTGTGCGCTGGCAGGCGGCTTCTCAATCAGGCTGTTCTGCGCCTCCTTGTCCTTCTCCGAATGCTTGCCCAGCCCCGCCGTCGTGTGATCCGCTTTCACATAGTAAAACGGCGACTCCAAATGCAGATACGGCTCGGAGGCCAATTTCTTGCGGCGCTCGCGCAGAAAATGTAGACGCACATAGTTGATGGGCAGATGGACGCACTCGGCGCCGGAGCCCTCGGCATCGATGAAGACGCCACGCACCAGAATCGAGTTGGAGCATTTGAGGGCGGCCAGCACCAGGAACGGAATGAGGTGCGTTATCCAGAAGCTCATTAGCCGATCGTCTAAAGCAATCAGAGTGTTAGGGAGGATCTATAGAGGCGATATGTTGCATTTATTTACCGGGAAACACATAAACATCGAGCAGATTCCAGATGCCGCGCCAGGCATTTACGGCTCCGAAAAATGTCATCAGATAGTAGATATCGCAAATGATCAGCTTCAGGATGCCGCTGATGCGCCGGCACACGTAACGCATGAGCGGCTGCAGGACAAAGGTCACGAAGACCGTCAGGTAACCAATGAGCTGTGCGGGTTGAGCAGAATCTTACTTGAATGGCTTAGGAAGTCGAATGCTTGGCTCAGGCTTACCAGTGATCCCCAGGCGGACTTTGCCTTGTCGCGCGGATACAGGGTTAAATCGAAGATGCCCCAGACACCGCGCCAGGCAATCACGACCAGGCTGCCAATGACAAACACGGAAAACAATGTGTCCAGCACGTAAAGGCCGGGTTGATTGAAACCCTACATCAATGATATCGAATACACAGCACAAATTTGTACATATTTATCCATTAAGGGTGAGCTCAATATAGCAAAGCAATTCAAGCGGGAATTTCTGTTGTTTTTATACCCTAAGTCGATCTAGTCGAGAGTCGATCTAGTCAAACCCGTCTGAGTAAGTCGATCCCAAAACTACAAAAGCTAAGAACTTATTTGATTATTTTTTTTTCTTATTTCCACAAAAGCATTCTTTCTTTTTATTTTCTTTAATTCTGTTTATCGCATAATCCGATTTTTTTCAATGCTAACTCGAAAACTACGAAAGCGAAATACTTTAAATTTTATAAAGTATATAACCCTCATATTTTCAAAATATTGCTAAAATCCATTTTAAGAGCCCTTTAAGTATACATCGAATTTTATGAGAATTTAATGCTCCAAACTTGGTGTGTAGGTTCCCGTATAGTAGATAAAGAATTAATATTATGAATAGAGTACGAATATAGGTTGAATTTAACAAGAATCGGACTATAAACACCGATGGGTAGCAAGAGTGCATTTCTTACATATAGTCTGGAGCAAAGGTAAAAAGAATTACCTCTAAATACAATCTGCAGATCTTTTCATTTATGTACTTATGAGTATGTATGTTTAGAGGGAAGTTCGAATTTTCGGCATAGGCAGCTTTACGCTGGGTGGCAAATTGGTCCTGAGATTTGAAATTGAAATATATATACTCGTATACCATAATTTTTCGATATATCTCAGCCCGTTTCGATAATATCGGTAGGAATAGTTTTTTTTATGCACTTATAGAAGATAGCTAAGGAATAAAATAAAAAAAGAGAAATATCTAAAGTAACGAAATATCAAGAGATTTCTTTCTCCCTCGCCCTAAGGCCCGTGATTTTATATTAAATAAATAACGAAGGATTTTCAAGGCATTGTAATAAATGAAAGATGACAAATCGAATCGATTTCAGAGACTTTAAGAGGTAGATCCTTAAAAAAAGGTTTAAAGAAGATTCGATTCTCAGTTATTTTTTGTCTCAAATGTTTGTCGAATACAGAAGAAGTCACAAACAACTCCATAAAGTTTTTCTAAATCTGATAAGATCGATTTATAATTCTTGTTTTTGAGTACGTTTCGAATATTTTAAGAGAAAAAGGGACCTCGAATTCGAAATGTTTTCGAAAAGGTCGATTTATAATTCAGTTTTTTGAGTATGTTTCGAATATTTTAAGAGAAAAAGACCTCGAATTCGAGATGTTTTCAAAGAGATCGATTTATATTTCTTGTTTTTGAGTATGTTTCGAATATTTTAAGAGAAAAAGGGACCTCGAATTCGAAATGTTTTCATGAAGATCGAGTTATAATTCTTGTTTTTGAGTATGTTTCGAATACTCTAAGAAAAAAAACTTCGAATTCGAAATGTTTTCGAAAAGATCGATTTATAATTCTTGTTTTTGAGTATGTTTCGAATATTCTAAGAGAAAGAGACCTCGAATTCGATTCGCCCAAGAATGTTTTACTGTATGCACAGCTCTCTATAATATTATTAAATATTGATATATACACCTATTTGTACGATCCGTGTTCTTAAAGGTCGGATATTAAACAGCTAATTTATAAAAGTAAGTCGAATGAATGTTGACGGAGGACGGAGCTCAGAGCTGAATGAAATCCATGTCTAGTTTGATATCTTTGCTAAAGCTCTCTTTGTTTTTCATGTTTCGTATTTCTCTACAGAAGCTTGTGTAGAATATATCTATTTACCGGTATTTTGAACATGGTGTCCACCTCAAAGTAGTCGCTCTTGTGGTCCATGGTCACGGTGTAGGGCGCTGCGCCCAGATTGCGCAGGGTGCGGGTTCCGACCAGGAAGAGCAAGGCAATCAGAGTCACCACCGAGATGATGGCCAGGGAGTCGATGCTCGTGAGCCAGTCGCAAATCATCCAGGCACCGCGCCACATATTGACGCAGACGATGCCAAAGATGGCGGTATAAAGACGTGAGATGGCGTAATAGGTGAGTCGTCGCTTGTCGGGATGTATGTGATCCTTGAAGAAGTTCTGCGTAATGGTGAAAATAAAGTGACCCACTCCGCCGATCACAAAGGAGGCCAGCGCGGAAAAGGGCTGGCTATTCGGAAAGAGCAGCACGCCCATCAGCTCCCAGGTGCCGCGCCAATAGGCGATCACGCAAGGCGCCACGACCAGGCAGGAGAGCAGCACGTCCAACAGTTCCAGCAGCAGCTCGTGCAGATTTCGCCGTGGCGCTTCGGGTGCATATTTCTGGCTGTGCAGCGCGTGTGTGCAGGTGTGATGCATTGTTAAATGGGGCAGGGAATGCGATTGTTTATGCGGCAGGTGTGTATGCTGCTCCGATGCCGTCGCCGTCGCCGACGCCGGCACCGAGCCAAGGCATGAAGTTATCGTTGGCTTTGTGTTGCCGCTGATAATAATCGGCGCTGGTGTTCCCGATGTGCACTTGTCCGTGGTCAGCATATTGTGTGCCCGTACTCAGTGCTCCTTCTTCCAACCAGAAGCCAAATTCTTTGATTGCCAATTTGCGTTGCGGATAGGTTGGTTTGGTCCAGACGTCACCCTGTACGGCTTTCATCTGTTCATCTGCGTTCTAATACTGTTTTTGCTGTGGCTCCGGGATTGGCGAATCGCGAATGCTGACATTGTGTTGATTGTTAGCTCCGTCCGGCTGAGAGAGACAGAGAGAGAGAGAGATGCAGCTGAGTGGGGTTCTCCTCTTCCTTCTCCTCCTCTTGTCTCGTTTCGTTGCACTGATAATAATCCAGCACTGATAATTATTATAGTAGTTAAATGACAGACTACGTGTTTGTCTGTCCACCAGAGCCAGAGCCAGAGCCAACCTTCTCCCAGTTGTCAATCCGGGTTGTATAATCCACATCCACATCCACCACAATACGCCAGACGGCCGTCCGGTCTGGGTCTGGGTCTCGGTCTGGGTCTGGGTCTCTCCCTTAATACGTTTCTGTTGTGGCTGCACTTGGGCCTGCAAATGCAAGAAATGCATCAAAATGTTGCTCTAAAGCCGTAATTAATTTTAGTTTATTTAACTGTGACCTGTGACCTGTGACCTGTGGTGCACCTTTTACCTCTTAATTAGTGCCTCATATGGAATCATGCTTAGCCAAAGCTGAGGCTTTTATGCTCCTCTATTTTATTTTTTAGATATTTTTTTTACTTATTTATTAAAGGGTCGACAAAAACGAGTGTCTTTCTAATTATTTAATATATCAAATTATAAAAACTAAGCGCTAAAAGTCTAATTAGAATAAACAATTTTCTAATAGCATTACCGACCAATTTATTTATTTAATAAACCTCTTGAATTAGATAATAAATGTTTAAAAAATGAACTGTTTTTTTAACTAGATTTAGCAAATCAAGATTTGTTACTTTCACTTATATATACTGATACAGGGCCTTTTACCGATATGATATCTTTTGTGATCCCTTAAATTATTACTATTTATGATACCCACTGTATTCTTAATAGGGTTAATAAGGTTGTTTAATAAAAACGGCTGACTTATGTTTCCGTTTGGCTCTAATCAATATATATAGACATTCTGTTGTCATTGAATGTGATATGAATGGCCCCACTTTTGACTAACATATCGCCTCGCTCAAGCACTTAATATATCCAATTTAAGACGCCAGCAAACATTGAGAATATAAAGTGAGGCCCCAACGCAATAAAAGTAAAAATACTCGTTAATTGACAGAGGCTGAGATTTAAAGAGCTTCGCTTCGGTTTGTCATGGAGAGTGCAAAAACCTTACCGAATGCGACTGAAGGTGCCAAATTTAATAACTATGCCTCAATATACTTATAATGGGTCACGAAAAAAAAACTAAAGTTAATTTCAACAACGAGCATGTTGAGGCTGAGCCAATTTGTAGCTCTAAATATGCCTCTACATGTGTGTATATTGTGTAGATCAAAATTAACAAAAAAAAAAAAACGCCACTAATTAGACAAACGCATAGTATATGACGGAATTAGAATGATTTGAGCGTCGCAGGATGTTTGTGATTTGTAGCTTGGACAACGCGGCGTATGCGCAATAATTAAACATGACATTCAACAGGTTATGGCGCTGCCCATTTGAAGGTCTATCAAATGCTAATGCAGACAGCAAAAAACAGCAAAAATAGCAAAAAACAACAACAATGCTGTTGAGATTGGGTCAAGCGCATTCGCATTTAAATAAATCAATGTGGTCAAATTGCTGAGTAAATGGAAGTCCCGCGGCGCGGCTCATTAAAGCAGTCACTGCGCAGCAGGACTTCCTCGAAATATTAGGGGTCACTTGTATTTGAAAATTAAATAGAGTATATTTAAATTTAGACCAGATAACGCCCGTCCCAATACCAAGTCGCCAAGTGCTGCATTGTACTTCAATTGCCTCAGCTAATTGACAAGAAACTGGCGACATTCTGAATTCCAATTGGAAATGCCGTGATGCTTACAATTTTCGCAGTGCTTATCAGATCAGCCCCCCCTCCCCTCCCCTCCCCTCCCCTCACACCTCTGCTTAGCTTTAAGCTAATTATATTTGCCAACAAATGATATACCCCCATAATGCAAATCTATGTACACTTAGGTCTCTAATCGAATGTTGACTTTTGTTAACTGGCCGCGTTGCTAGAGCTAGATTTTATAGTTTGTTTGTGAGAATCTTGATCAAACAGATACAAATTTGCACAAGACTTACAGACGATGAAGTGAATGCTTTTATAGTTTTTATGATCTTTGAATATGAAAACGAGCAGCAGGGATATCTTCGGATCGCCGATTGTTAAATACACTTGTAAAATCTTAGAGAACAGAATATTTTGACATACAAGAAAATATTTGTTTACATATGAACGATCCTTCATGTGGCAGCTGTATTATATGGTTCGAAGATGATGAGATTTTGCATATATATGGAAAGTGGGTCAAGATATCTTGATAGACAGGATTGTTTTCTATACAAGAACCTACTCTTTGACCGATCGTTTCTATGGCAGCTATATGATATAGTTATCTGATCCGGCAGGTTCCGACATATGCATTGCCTTCAACATCAACATTCAAATCTGAGGGACTATAATACATATACTTGTTGGGTCGAAATTATCTTCTTTTATGCGGTACACATTTCATGACAAAATTATAATACCCTCTACAAGTGTATAAAAATATTGCGATAATGCACTATGGTTTAACAGTTTAGTTTTAAGGTATTAATTCTGAATGCAGAAGCTAGACTCATGAAATGATTTGATTTAACTGGGAAACTATAAAAACTAAATACCTGAAATTGGATAAATAATGCCTATCATATGCAGAACGAGTTGATTATTATTTTCAATGTTTAATTTAATTTCTAAAATAACTAAAATATATCAATTTTTAGACTTGGTTTTTAATCATAAGACTTGAAGAATACTTCCCGCTCCCCCTAACATGTGTGTTATGTTAAGCTTAGGCTTTGGTATTTGCACATATTCGGATGAAAAAAAACCTAGTATACTTAAAAAAAATGGTAGTGAATTGAAAAACTTAAATATGTTTTTTGCGCTGGAATCGATCAGTGCCTTCTGATCTCTACCAAGCGATTGAATGAGGGAATGAGAAGGTATAGTTACAAGTACGTGAAAATTGTAGTTATGTTATTGAAATGAGGGAAACAAATCAGAATGCACATATACTTATTTCCCTGAGGTATTTAAGAACTCGTATCCATGTCCCTCTCTCTCTATCTCTCTCTCTCTCTCTCTCTCTCTTTCTGTCTACCCGTCTGCCTGTCTGTATGAATGCATCGATTGCGGATATTACACAAGTTATAGACTTGATATTTGAAATATATTTATATGTATTTATTATACGCAAAATTGGCAGTTTTTAGTCGATTTTTCGTCCCCTTTCCAAAATGGAAACTTGTGATTCGGGGAATCCCCAAGTCAGGCACTCCGGACTAAAGCAAGATCGAAGAACAAACATAGAAGTTATTCTACATTCAATTTTTAAAGGTGTGCCACAGGTGCAAGATCTCGTATAGTAAACACAGATCCAGAATACTTTACATTTTAAATACTCCCATTTTGCCCAAAGTTACAAATTCTAATTGTGAACTATAATATTGGCTGCCATATTTATGTACTGAAAATTGTATAAAGATCCGAAAATAAACAGAAAAGTAAATCACGAAAAGTCTTTTCCATAAACTTCGACTAAGTATTGCATTAATATAAAATGCAAAAAAAATAATTGTAATAATTGAACTTTCAAAATGGGTTAGCGGGTGATCGGATGAAAACCGAAATAGTTGGCCGACCCTAGGTAAAGTTTTCTTAAGCCACCTTCCAAAAAAGTTAATTAGATGAAATTCCATTCATCGTTTATACTAAATTTAATCTAATATTTTCCCACTGGATCGATTTTCAGAAAATTGACAAATTTCGAAAATACGTTAAATGAATTTTCAGAAAGATATTTGCAAACGTTTCCCACAACTCATCACATAAAATAACTATACAAAAAAGTTGTTTTCAGTCTGTCAGGACAAACATTTCAATGAAAAACATATATATTTACCCACACACTTATCATCCGAGGCTATTAAGGCTGAGTTTGCAAGCTGGCTATCTTATCAGACCCAAACTTTTAATCATTCACTGTTATCAAACGATAACTTTACAATCCGGACTAAAGATAATGCGTACAATCAAATATGTATACACAACGAAATTACGCATATTAATTTAAATATGTACATGAAAACAAAACAAAAAAACAAAAAATAGCAGAATTCCCAATTGTTTACCGTTTCAAATTAGCATTATGTTAGTTTAGCTGTGATGGCGTCTCCGGCGACTGCAATTGTGGGTGCGTGAGTGAGAGAGTGAAATTGAGAGGAGGTTAGTCGGTTAACATATGCACACACATATGTATGTATGTATGTGTATACACATATACATATATACATTATAATTGTACGCACTGATTGAAGCACACGTGTAATTGAAAGAGTTTTTCGATTCGTTTCAAGCAAAGATGCAATTTGTGGAAAGGGCCGTCTTCAAATTACGCGTACCGGAAGTGAATATTACGACACCTGTTCAATTTTGGGCCTTACTTGATCGCGAGCAAGACTTTGACTGTTGTCGAAGGAGTTTGATGCTTGAATGAACGAACGCGACTTTAGGCGCTTCTATATGTATTTATTGAAATAGCTTTGTCGCGAGCACACGTAAACACAATAAATACACACATACATACATACGCACAGCACAGAGCTGACACACACACACACGCACACACACAGGCACAAATGCAATCTAGTTTATTTGTACGGTTGTTTGAACTTCGAGATATATTTTTGCGCTGCGCGAGCTTATGGCACTTTGAAGCTGCAGCATCCAGCGCGGAGGTCACTTTAGTCAGCCGTCAATGGCAGCAAAAACTGAACTGCGTCTGATCTGAGTTTCGCTTTTGAACTGAGCTAGGGTCGTCAGCCGCGTCGTCCGTGTCGTCCCCAGATTCACACTCGTGCTCATATTCTGCTCTACGGTCGAGCCACGAGCAAGCTTATCAAAACGTACTGCGGCGCGTCGCGTTAGGTAGTTTTTTTTTTTTTTTTTTTTTGGATAAACCTACCTATTAGCCGATCGCTACTGTTTCTGAGGTCGCCAGCTCGGCTCAGCGGCTCAGCATAGCTCGGATCTCAGCAACTCGGATATCATCTATTTGATTGATTCTTGTCGTTTGCTGCCTGGACAAAAACTGGCTGAGCTATTGATTGTTCAAAATTATATGATCTGATAAACGTAAAATTTTCCACCTCCAGCTGATATAGTCTCAGACATGATTGTACGGCTGTTAAAGCTATTCAAACATATATACATACATATAATCCATCGCAGCGAAGATTCCGACTATTTACACAGCCAGCAGAAACAATTTATCTTTTGTTTTTGAATATCCTTTAGAGTATTTACAAATAATTCTGCTAGTTTATTTGGTATAAATATTTAAGTAATTCCACAATCATTGAAAATGAAACGTGCGCAAATAAAGACAGCTTTATTTGCTGTATTCCATCCTTTTCAGCTCGATTCACTTGCGTCTAATAGAAAATCGCACTTTGCTAAGTTGATTGTGTGCTGTATCACTTTACGCAAAACAAGGGGCTAATAAAAATTTTAAATTATTTGCAGCTAATAAGAACACAGTACTTTATGAATATTCATTTGAAACTGACTTGGGAAACTAGAACTGGCGACCAACTTCTCCTTTATATGAGAGGCCAGTAATTTATGCCAGAATGTCATTAGGTGTATAGATAACAAAAAATTGTAATATTATGATTCGATAGTTACGTTTGTGAAAATATTAACTTCAGTCAGCAATTCGCTGCGGCAAATGTGAAAGTGAATTGTTAATCTAATTCATAGAATCGTTCCCACCGTTGTCAAACACAACAAATACATTAGCTTACATAAAGAACTGAGGTTCCTGTATATGATAATAATTAATAATTAAAGTAATAATTAAAAAAATGTTTTTCCTCAATAATAAGTAAATCGCGTTTTAAAATAATTCTATTTGTTTTTAGAGTCCTCAAATGAATAGCAAACTTTAATTAATTTTACATTTTAGCTATCACAAAACCGCATAAATAGACTTAAATGCGTATCATTCATTCATTCGTTGGATAGTTATTCAATATGCGTGTCACATAACAAAACTGACCTAGCATAAGATTATTTAATTAAACTAATTTTTATTTATGTTTGCCGTTTATTCAAATTCCACCTGACACACATTTTCTTAGAAACTTGCGCTTTGCTCGGTCGCAGACTAATTATGCATATGATCAAAATTGAATGTATCATAAATATTAAAATTACCGTAAATTATTTAATAAATTGATGAATAATTTTTTTTTCTTTTATTTCTTACAATAAATTACATAGCTTATTATTAGAAATAAATGTAGGACACAATTAAGTATATACATACAACAATCAACTGATTCAAGTCGAACGAGCGGTTCTCATTAACTAAAATATTTTCGACAAAAAGTGCCTCTAAGCTCACGAGCTGCCGGCTGTGAGGCTTATCAGCAGTGATAAGGGTAAGTGTATTTCTTCAGCGATCTTAATAGTGGTCAGCTGCTGCTGCTGCTGCTGCTTACATTCAGACATCGACACATCTATATAGTACAGGTTTCTACAGCGCACCGATCTGACATGCGCGAAAACAAGAGAAGGCTTCCCAATAAGACTAAAAACCCCTGGGTCATAAATCGCGGGCAATGGCTGATTATCAATTGCTTATCAGTTGTCAGAGCAAAAGGAGCAGCAATCGTCTGCTAAACTTTTTTCCATTAAAGATTGTAATATTTTGTAGCCATAGGTACCCTATAAAATGTATAAGTCAGAAGGTTATGCAAATGTGTGTGGGCAGAAAGAGACATGTTCAACTTTATAAAGCATTTACTATGTACGCATTCTATCTCTATATATAAAACTGTGTGTCCTGACTGACTGACAGCCTAAACCGTACAGCTAGGAAGCTGAAATTTTCACTGTAGTTACCTAATGTGATGTAGGTGCACGTTAAGACGGGGTTTCGGGAAATTCCAATCGCATGTGTGGAAAAACCGCGAAAAACGTTTGCATGAAACTTTCTTGGTAACCATCCGATCGTCCTCAAACTTTATTTCAAATATCTTTGTTCAAATTCATTTCACACTTCTCGACAAATACATTACTCTTTGGTGGAAATGGGGGTCAAAGATTTGGTGACGTTTCGCGCTCAAATTCATTTGCAAGGATCTATACGAAAAAATTTCCATATATATGTACATATGCCTGTTTGTGCATACATGTATGCATGTTTGTTTTGTATACATGCAAACATGCATGCATGCGTACATGTATGAATACATGTTCGGATACCTTAATATATGCAAACATGCATACAAATATATATACATTTATGTATGCATTTTTGCATATAAAAATATATGCATGCATACATATATGTATGTTTTTATGCGTCTGCATACATATGCATGCATGTTTGTAAATATATGGTATGCATGTTTGTTTTGCATATATGCAAACATGCATGCATGCGTGCATGTACGAATACATATGTACATACATACATATGTACATACATACATGTGTACATACATACATACATACATGCAAAAATACATACATACATACATACCTACATATGTACATACATACATACCTTCATACACACAAAAAACAACAAAAACAAAACTAGCTAAACTAAGCATGCAAAAACTGCAGAGCCTACTTGAATTCTTGAGAATCGAGGAGGAGAGCACTTGGTAGAAATTCGTTTTATTTAAATTTGCAGCATAGCGACTAAGCTTGGTCTGCCTTTGGTATTAGAAAACAAATATGCATGCATACATATATACATAAATGCGTGCATACACTAACACATGCACGCCCCCACACACACACACATACAAATTATTATATGCTTTCTAAATCTCTCCTTTTTATTTAATTTTAATTTGTCATTAATTTTGACATTAAAAAGGAAAAGCTAGGATAATAAATTCCGAGGAACCTCAAAATGAGCCCCCAACAAATACATTCGATCAAGTTCATAAGCTACCAAATAATTTGTAAGTTATATTTATTTACTCGTTAGTATGTATATATATCCTCAATAATCATGAGTGATAACTTTGTAAGCATATTTATATATCAATACAACAATTTTTTATTTATTTTTGGAGATAAATATCGAGGACTGCACATATATATAAATAAATATATATAAATTATTTATATATATTAATTTATATATAATTCGAGGAATGAAGCTCGTTACATCTGAGTTCGTTCTTAAAACTAAAAATTAAAACTAAAAAAGCATGTGATAGATGTGCATATAATTATAGTTACACGCTTATATTTGGTTATTTGAATCTATTTCCGTTTGTTCTCATGTTTACACGTAAGTAAAGATTTTAGTAGAATCAACTGCCCAGAATCGCAACTCATGTGGATTAATTTTTGGACCTTTGTGTCCACAGGCGTTGCAAGACGGCAGTTAGTACATAAATTATAAATGATGCTAAGCTTGTTAAACTGTTGGACATGTTAAAATAATTTGAATATATTCTTTTTAGCTTAATAGTATAAATTCATTATTAAATGTGCTAGCTTGTGCTGTAATGTAATTTGTGGTGATGCTGTGCACTTCCTTATAAAAAAAAAGAGGGAAAAATAGAGAGCTTCCATAGCTACAATATGGACTAATTAGAGCATGAGTATTATATATGCTAATGTGTGCGTGTTGCCTTTGGAATGTAGCGAAGGTTTCTAGTTGAAAAGTCGCTTAAGTATACTCTGAATTGTCACCAAGGACTGATCCTCTATAAGGAAAGTACGATGATTGCCTTCGACAGTGTGCACCTCCACAGGCTTTATGCAAACCTAAATGAAAGAAATACAAAATTAGGTTTGAATTAGAATTACTTTTGATTTTAAACGCACCTCCTTAAGGCGGTAGTCCTCATCCATTTTAGCAGAGTTATCTGTTGGCTTGACCAGTGTCACCTTTGACTTGAGTTTCAATTTTGGCGTATAGCCGTCGGCCAACTCCAGCTTTTTGTAAAAAAGTTTCGCAGCCGTTTTGATCTATAGAAGAGATTGAAAATTAAAAACAGAAAGCCAATAGAAAAATCTGTACTTACAGTCTCCACCGGCTGGGTTATTTCAACACTGAGGAGCTCAGCAAACTTTTCCAGTTTCTCTTCCCAAGTGGGTATCACCAGTAGCAAACGGACCAGCTAATAACGACAATTAAGAGCATGAGTATGTTATTGATTGGAAATATATGATTTGATGCTTACAGCTTTATAGTCGATGTTGGCTAGCACAAGACCGAAGTAAGCCAGGCCGTAGCTTTGGTTGCTGTTGTTGTCATCGACGGTGTATCGCTGCTTAAAGCTGCTCGTATACCAATTGACGTAGGTCGGCGCGCCATCCAACATGACAACATTCGCAATTTCGTTGGTCTCCTCCAGTATAGCGGCCATCACGTAGGTAAGCAGACAGCCAAAGGAGTAGCCCGCCAGCTTGTAGGGTCCCTTTGACTGCACCGTACGCAGCTGCTTGATGTAGAACTTAGCTGCAGCCTCTATGGAGTCTAAGGGCACGGTGCTGGTGAATTGCAATCCGTACGCAGGCACCTCGAGCTTTTTGGCCAACAAT